CCCCCCCTCTTTCTCTCTCTCTCTCTCTCTCTCTGTGTGTGTGGTGGGGAAACAGTGATGGTGGTGAAGGTTTACGGTCCCGATTATGCATCGCCGAAGCGAGTCATGGTTTGTCTGCTCGAAAAAGAAATCGAATTCGAGACGGTGCCCGTCGATCTCATCACCGGCGAAAATCGAAGTCCTGAGTTCATGAAATTACAGGTAAACTATCTAAACTGCAGATTAATCTACTTATGGTTCGATTTTGAGTTTTTATACTGCAGATTAATCTATTTATGGTTCGATTTTATAAGTCTGAGTTTAATTATTGAAATTTTTGATGGTGAACGACAGCCGTTTGGATCTCTTCCGGTCATTCAAGATGGAGATTACACTCTCTTCGGTAAGAACCCAAAATCCCTAAAATAGCAAATAGAAATTGGGAGAACTGTCTCTGCTGTGCATCAATTGTCTGTACAATTACCTGTCGATAATATCCTTTTAGGTTTACTAGCATTTGTTTTCATATTGGAGATGATTGATTCATGAATGACAGTCATAACCAATGAAATTGGATATTTAATTGGGCGAAAATGGAACCAATTTTGACCGGATTCTTATTGCTGAGAGCTATCTTTTTTAACATATTTTTTAAAATGGAGGTTTTGAGCATTTTGGAAATTCTTCAAAATTTTATACAAAATGGAGATGGCAGGAGATAGCACTTGAAATTCTCCAAATTTGAAGGTTATAACGAATTAAAAATATTTATTTATTTATTTTATATATCTTTTTTTCTAACATGATTCTAATTTTATTATAGACCGAGATGGAGTTTCAAATATAATATATATATATATATATATATATATACACGCACACGATGAATCGTGTGAGAATAAGAGTTAAAGGTGATCAGAAGTGCAAGAAGGAATTTAGATCCTTGATTATTTTTAATCTTAAAACAACTCATAAATTGTGCTTTAGAAGGGAATTGATCCAATGTATTTCATTAGTGTTGATCTAGTGAAAATCCCTTCTTGCCCTTTTCTCAATATAGAGATCGATTGTTACCTTGAATCCTAGCGTTAGATGAAACGCATTGGATGGTTGAGATTGCTTCTCAAGGGTTCTCAACATTTTTGACGGCCACATTTTAAACATGACCTACTTAGAGACGACATTTTTCAAAAGTACCCGAAAAACTAGATACTGAATTGCACTTTTCTCGATCATTTTATGCACGAGAGATAAAAGACTGTTGGGTCATGTTATTTTTTTTATGAAACAGAATCACGAGCCATAATCCGTTACTATGCTGAAAAGTACAAGTCTCAAGGAACCAACTTGTTGGGAAAGACAATCGAAGATCAAGGTCTAGTGCAACAATGGCTAGAAGTCGAGGCTCACAACTACCACCCACCGCTTAACAATCTCGTTCTCCACATATTGTTCAGCTCGGTTCTAGGGTTCAGGAGAGACGAGCAGGTGATCAAAGAAAGCGAGGAGAAGCTGGGGAAAGTTTTGGACGTATACGAGGATCGGCTATCGAAGAGCAGGTATTTGGCTGGAGATTTCTTCAGCCTTGCAGACCTTAGCCATCTTCCATTTACAAGCTACTTGGTTGGAGGTGTTGGGAAGGAATATATGATCAAAGAAAGGAAACATGTGAGTGGTTGGTGGGATGAGATTAGCAGCAGGCCTTCTTGGCAAAAGGTCCTCCAGCTTTTCAAGACCCCATTTGAATAAATCTTTTTTCATAATACATGAATAATCTATTATAAAAATGCACAACTTTTTGACAGAAGTTTGAGGCATTCTTATTTTAGAAAGTAACATTCTAGAATTTGTCAGAAGGTTATTTGCCCAATATTAACGATAAATAATGATCTCTTGTTTGTTAGAAGAAGACTTTGATTTCGGTTTCGGTTTTGGTGTTGGTTTTGGTTTTGGTTTTGGTTTTAGAAAGACCGACTTCAAATAATAAATAAAAATATGCGATTTGGGGCTTATTTGTTAAGTTGTTAAGTAGGTGTTTGTTTTTTTGTTCAATTTTGATTAAAATGCAGCCATTTTTGTCTTTATTCTATCTTGGTGTAAAGACACTCAATTAGTATAATAAAAGGGTTAATTCTTTATAGAGTAAACTATAATTTTGATTTATCTGGTTTACACAAAACTACAAACGTCCCAAAACTTCAATAGATATAATAATGGTCATTATAGTTTATGTTGTTGTAAAGTGGTATCTTGGCTTAACATCGTTACTTGAACTATTGGTAAGGTAGGGGTCTATTGGACCATTTATCCATTTTTCTAATTTTATTTTATAAAGTTATATATATATATATATATATATATATATATATATAGGTCCATTCAAGGGAGAACTGATTARTTTGTGCTAACTGTGAGATCCAATCTCAACCACAAATCAATGGATAAATTAGGAAATTAATAATTATGGTAGTTTGAGTTAAAATTATAATTAGAGGGCTTTTTAGGTATTTTTAAAAAACTCGTCTCTCCGACCTTCAATCTCCGGCCTCCGGTGAACATTAATCCGGCAGGTACCAAGTAATCACAAA